CCTACTCGGGAGTATGACGTAAACGTTTTTAAGTGCACTCTCTCCTTACTCAGACTATCTCTTCGTTCCTTTATACAGCCCTACTGTGTTCATCAAAAAAGAGTTGAATATGAAATGTAAAAAGAAATGAAAGGTGGAAACAAATTAAGAAAGTGATCGAAGCTCATCTTTCTAGTCTTGCTAAATTTATAAGCCATGCCCATATGGAGCAGGGAAGAACTGAACACTGATTCCAAAGGGCAAGGCCCTCTAATGCGGACTCACGTGTTAGTTTCCAAGTCTGCCACAGTTTCTCTATGAAGACACAAATACTCTCATTTCGTTCTGTTTTCTTATGTGGAAGGATACACACTGTCGTGGACCAGGAGATTCTTCTGTGTGGGCTTTAGGAGCACGGCTTCCTTGTTGCTGCTAGAGCTGCACGGTGTTCTCTTGCGTGGCTGCCCTGTCATGTATATAACCAGTCCCCTAAGGATGACAGTGTACAATGACCTCTCATACATGTAAATATTTATGATAAATTTTGAGACATGGGATTATTGGATCATAGGGAAGCTGCATTTGTAATTTTGACAGATATTTTCGAAGTACCTTACTAAGGAGGTTGTTGCTATGTGTACCCTGATGACTGGCTTCACAAACTGTGTCGTGTCCAACTTAATTTTTGATGATCTGATAAGTAAAATACAGAATCTTGTTGGAGGTTTAATTTGAACTTCTTTGGATATGAATGAGATGTAACATTTTGTGTTGAATAGCAATTTGTATTTCCTTTATTGGGAAGTATCTGTTCATTGTATTTGCCCTTTGTAGATTTTTAGGAGTTTTTCATACGTCAGGAAACTTATCCCTTTGCCTGTAATTAATAGGTTCCAAACATTTTCCCTGGTTTGTGACTTGTCTTTTGACTTTGTCTTTGGTGCATTACAGAAAGGTTTTTTCTCTTATGTAGTTGAATTTACCTTTCTTTGTTAATGCCTCTGTATTCTGAATTATAGCTAGAAATGACTTCCCTGTACAGAGGAATCTTTATTTTTTAAAAAATATTAAAAATGATCTTTTACTTTTGATTGTTGATTTCATTGCTTTTAACGAAATCAAAACTTGTAAGCTTTTATCCACGTATGGTTTATCCTGGTGTGAATTCAATTCTACTTTTTTTCCTGATGGCTCCCTATTGTCCTGTTAGCATTTTCTGAAAAGCTCATATTTTCCTTTACTGATATGACCAGATATCATGTAGACCAAATTCATGATTCTTTCTCTTCTGCTTTGTTGTCAGTCTATTTGTGTACCTCCACAATACTGTTATAACCGTTGACAATTTATAATTTTTATAAATGTAAGTATGACTGGTAACCCCTTACTGGTCTCTCTTTTCAAGGTGTTTGTGAAGGCTACTATCGCTTCACCTTCCCATAGGAACTTCAGAATCTGGTTTTGTCTTGTCCCAGAATAATAGGAGCAGTAAAAAAAATAGCATCTGTTGCCTGTTTTTATACTAAAGAAGAAAAAAGTCTTGAAATCGTAGGCCCTGTGTAGTCAGGGACTCCCGCGAACAGTCGTGATTTCCCGGGCATACATCTTACCCCTGTAGGTGTGTGCATCTGCCGGGAGGAGGTCAGAACTCTCAGAGCAGGGAAGAGCATATCCTTCCGTCTCCCGTTTTACATGCAAGTAGGGATTTGGTAAAAGAAGGAAGGAAACAAAAACTAGTAGCTATTGAATTACTTGGATAGATTATTTTCATTATTTACATTGCAGATTGTGATGGGATTTAATACAGTAAATGATCACCTTTGGTCACTGTGTGTATCAGTGGTAATGATTTACTATTCATGTTTAGCCTTTTAAATTACTCTTCCAATTTCGTTGCCCTTCAAAGAGCCATTTAAGTGGAGCTTCACATTTTTTTAATATCCCACATTGTTGGAAGGCAAAGTTGGAGCTATAGTTATGAAGCTTAAAAATGGAAGAATGTGATGGATTATGTTCAGGTAACAGAGATTTCATTTTAAGGGCCTTTCTGCCTGCTTTCGATAGTAAATCCTGTTCCCAGAGTGAATACTTCTTCACTAGAGAATCAGTCATTGGTCACTTTTAAGCACCTAACTTTGGGGCTAGTATTAAAATTTTTTGAGGGATAGCCCTTTTAAGAAGTTAAGTCATGGTGTTGATATATGTGAAGAATGCCCATAAATTGCTAGAACTTACCATCACTATTACCCAGATATGAGACAGGAGCCTCTGCTATTGTGTCAAAAGTCTAAATTGGACTTCTAAATTTGAGATATTGAAATGGCCTAAATTTGGGCATTATCTGCTCTGTACAAGCTAGCTAGTCTTTTCTGGTATACTTCTCTTCAGTTTGTATAGTTGACTGTATAAAGCACATCACAAATATTGAGGCTAAATATATTTAATTGATCTATAAATGGAACTTTAGAATCTGTTAAGATAATCCTGATAAGAGAATTTTATTGGCCTTCTCACTTTAAAAAGTTACAGAACTGAGATACCTGCATTGCAGCTTGGTCACATTCTCCAAGCATGCGTGGGCGGCAGGGCACGTGGTAACCATCCTGACCCGCTGCGCTGTTCTTAGTAGACTAGCCAGCCATGCCCTGTTCGCCTTATATTCTCATGGGAAGGAATGTTTATAGATGAATAAATTGGTTTGGTTTCTCTTTATCTTGACATGGGTACCAAATAAAATTATATGCTTTTGTATTACAAAAATGATCATTCTCACATCATTCTAAGTGTATATTAACTGAGCTGGGAGTGTGTAGTGTGTGTCAATCAGCCACACTGAAGCTTCGTTGCATTTTTGTCATTTTGTAATTCTGAGTATACCACTAGAAAGTAAGCTTCTCTGCACTAGAACATAATGCTCTACAGGACAATGATTTTAGTATTTTTTTGTTTTAATCACTGGTATACCCCAAATGCATCAAGATAATGCCTGACACATATTGGGTGCTCAAAATATTTTTTTAATATCTGAGTAATGGTTAGAGTCAGACTCCTGGATGCACAGCCTAGCAACGCCCCATTAATGAACTGTGACCTTGGGCATGTTTTACCATCCTGTGCTTCTGTTTCCTTATCTTTAGAATGGGGATGATAATGCTACCAAACGCAGAATTTTTGTAAGAAATGTACAGTGGTCGCCTTTGCTATTACTGAATAGTCAGGGTTACCTGATAGGCTGCTTTAGCATGTTTTTATTCTGTGTTTATTCTGTGTTTATTCTGTAGTATTTATTTGTACTGTGACTTAAATCCTTAGCCTTAGTTTTTTTTGTCTGAAACGTAAAGAACTGATTGGAGAGTAACTTAAGTGTCTTATGTTCTGGCTCTTCTGGCTTAAATCACTTTTTGAACACATACTTGGAGGCCATCCCAAACCCATCTCTTGGTAGCTTCAAATACAAGAAGGATTATATTGAACCAAAAATTCTCATTAAAGAATCCAGTGGTTCATGAGCCTTGAAAAACAAGTCTATCCTCATCCATGTAGTAGTACCCTCAAATACTTGAAAACGATTATCATGTCCCCTTGATGGCAGCTCCAGACTGATCATCCCTGAAGCAAACTCTTGACCCCTCTTAGCATCCTGATCCCTGACAATTGAAGTTCCCATTTCTGGCTGTTACAGAAGGGGAACGTTATTGTCTCATTTTAGATTCGGGATGTCTTCAAAACCATAGGATGCGGAGAGAGTAGGATGTGAGCTCTGCAGCCCAAAAGTTAGTTCGTAACTGTCAACCAAGTCCGCCAAGTCTTTCCTACATGTCGTGTACCTACCCCATTTCATACCCGTTCATTTGGTCTTGCAGGTACAAACATGAGATTTCCCTTTCATTTTGTTAAGTCTTGTAGCTTGCTTTTCCTCTTCCACTCTGGGACAGTCCCCACCTTCCTCCGTTCCCACCTACTTTTCATGTGTCATGGCCGATGTCTGACAGTTTACAAAAGTATGAATATCTGTACCTATGTAGGTTTTGTTTTCTTTATTGAGAAAGATGAAATCACTCATTATACTCTGTGGGTTTGATATGCCTTGTTTGATCAGGTGCAGCATATCCTCTCTTACATACATACACAACAATCTATTGTACCTTGACATTTAGGTTGTTTTCAGTTTGTTGCTGTTAACAGCACTACTGCAGTGCGTTCTCTCAGGCATGTTTTTGTGTCCTCTAGAATACTTCTCTTTCCAAACTTTCTTGGTAGGTTTTATACATTTATTTTTCCAAATCAACTTTAACTTACCCTTCTAAATTCCAGTCTCATTGGTATTACATTTAATATATACTTTGAGGACTGACATCTTAATGATTATCAAGCCTTCTCATCAAACATAGAAATTGCACTGGAATTTAAGTATAATTCACATTTTTCTATGGTTTTAGGCATGCTTTCATTTGGATTCCAAAATACAATTGGAAGACATACGCAGTGGTTTTCCCCTTTCTCTGATTCTGTGAAATGGGGACTTAATCATGTTGAGTCTTAAGTGTATGATCATTGTTTTCTTGGAATTGCCGAATTTCTTATGTTTGCTCCTGTGGTAAGGTAATTCAGTTGAAAGCCATTTAAAGTTTTACACAAAGACCATTTGGATGATATTTTGAGTTTTCACTGTTTATATACTGAACAAGTAATCAATAGTATAAAAGCAGATAATGTGGTCAACAGAAGTATGTTTAGTCACTCTTCAAGTTCATCTTAATTTTACTAAGTTTGCTTGGCACTGAAATTTTATACTTAAATTTTGCCAGTAGGAGAGGATTCTAGGTACAATATAAAGATATAAAAACATGATTGTCAAATTTAATAGAAAATCATCTGTTACAGGGTTATCTACAAAATGTTCCATATTTTTGAAATTAAAAAATCTTTTCCAGAGCCAAAATCGATTTTCAAATATTTTTCTTTCCACTATAAGAATCTTTATAGAGTTTCTTAAGTGACTTTCTTTTTTCTGTTTTCAGAGAAAGTTTCATTGTGCAAATTTGACTTCATGGCCTCGCTGGCTATATTCCTTATATGATGCTGTAAGTATTACCTGGTACATTTTTCTTTCTACGGTAAGCCTGTTCATAATTAAGGGTCATTAGAATGAAACATAGGCTTTCATACTCAGTGGTATCTCATTTTCAGAACTAATGCCATCCTTTACATTTAAGTAGAGCATCCTTTACATTTAGGTAGAGCATTTGCATCAGATACTACTGGACTTACTTTGCCTTTAATCTATAGAATTTTTCATTTTCCCAGTTTTTAGTGGCTTATAAATTCAGGACAAGATGAGACATTTTGGGGTCTATTAAGGATTTGAAATGTGGTAAGTGTAGGTAGAATTTAGAAAATTAAAGAATCCCATAACAATGTTTGTTTTTTTTTCCTAAATATATGAACTTATTATCTCCTGATCCCCAGTTAGTCTATTATATCCACAAGCATTTCGCTCCTCAAATTGTAATACTTCAGTATCACCATGCCTTGCAAAACTTAAACTGGAATTCTTCAAAGAATCTGGGTTTTAGACACAAACACTGTTCGAAGCTTTTCTATCATTTCCTCTGTGGCATGGGGCAAATTACTTACCTAAAGAAATTGATTTTAAAAAATGGGGATAATGATAGTCATTGTACTTGGCACACAGTAGGCACTCAACAAATGTCAGTCATTTCCCTTAGTGAATCACCTCACGCACAGATATGGACTCTTGCTTGGGAAGACTAAACACTGAAGGTTGAACACTTATCACAAGCACAACACTAAAGGAAACTACAGTTCACTCTGCCCTGCAGCAGCTTTGGGCCATTACAGATAACACAACAGACAAGTATTTGTGAAAAGATAGTAGGTACTCTTGTGTACTAAATAGGTGCCAAGTAAGGTATGTAGGTAGCAAGTGCTCGTGAAGTTTTTAGGAGCCACTATCCCTATGAACAGAGTCAGAAAAGCCATCCTAGAAAGGGGGAGAAGGGAGACCAGTTCCACACAGTTGATCAAAAAACACTTAGAAGGCAGTGAGTCAGGAGCATGTGCCAGTAGGGAAAGAGACAGTGGAGGGGAGAGGCCTGGAAAGCTAACTTAGTGCCAGGCACACAAGCTGGGGCTTTGATCATCTGAGCATAAGAAAACAGACACTTTTAAACTGGGACTCAGATTTTAGTAGAGTGAAGACTTAAATTGGTATTAATATATTAGTTTTATTAAAGAGAGTTGAAAATCTAGCAGTATGTTCTAAAAAGTCTGTGAACCTTATTATGGCTGCTTTTACTTTAAACAAGGAAACTTTAATGGATAGAATCAAGAAACAGCTACATGAATGGGACGAAAATCTAAAAGATGATTCTCTTCCTTCAAATCCAATAGGTATGAAAAGTCAGCTTCCTTCCTGTGGCCTTTGATATTTTACTAAATTATTTTTGTTTAATGAAACCAAAAATTTTAATATTTTTATTTGCTCTGAAAACATATTTGTTTTTGGGCTTTTAAAAAAATGAGGATTTTTTAAATGTAACAAAGTTCTTAAATTTTCTGAGTACTCTAATCTTAAAGTTTTCCTGTTAAGTTCAAATTGCAGACGAGATCGGGCATATTCAGGGTGGTGTGGCCGTAGACCAAATTGCAGTAAACGGGGCACATCCAAAAACTTGAGTGTCAGAACTCTCCCTTTTCTTTAAGATGCCTTTCAAAAGGATCCTAATTCTAAGACTTATTTATCTTATGTACCTATCATTGCTCTGGTTATTAGGTCCAGTTACTGTAGCCATTTTTCTAGTCTTTTAGCAGATTGACTTCTTATACCATGGGTTTGATTTTCATGTTTAAAAGACCAAAAAAAAAACCTGTTGATAAAAGTCAGAAACCCAAACCCTGGGGCGCAGCTCTCTCGGACCTCGCTCTTCTCACATCTTGACAGTGTAATTTGGCTTCTATAAGCCAATACTGCCTATACTGCTAAAAATAAGTAAATAAAAGACATTTCTAAAACCAATTATGGAAAAATAAATTAATTTCAGAACTTCCTAAGAATATGTACTCACTAGCTAGTGTATTTTAGTATTATGTCAAATACATTCTTTGGGAGCCCTGTAGAGAGAGGGTTTATCTCAAAAAGACATTGTCTGATTCATATGTCATCTGTTACTTATCTGCTTCAAAAACTTGAAAAACCACCATGTCTTTAAGATTTTTCTTACAGAGTAGCTGCTTGTCTTCCTATTGATGATGTATTAAGGATTCAGCTCCTTAAAATTGGTAGTGCCATCCAACGACTTCGCTGTGAACTAGATATTATGAATAAAGTGAGTAAAGTGACCATGTTCGTGACACCTCTTTTAGGCTTGATAATCTATGGGACCCAGTCATGTAGTCATGCAATTAGAAAACTAGTTGTTTGCTAGTTTTACTTTGTTTTTTTAAAGATTTTGAGTGAGTGAGTGAGCAAGCATGGGGAGGTGGGCAGAGGGAGAGGGGAAACAGACTCTCTGCCGAGCAGGGAGCCTGACACAGGGCTCGATCCCAGGACCCTGAGATCATGACTGGAGCCGAAGGCAGACGCTTAACCTACTGAGCCACTCAGGCACCCCGCTAGTTTTACATGATTTAGACATTTCATTTGGGATCATACAGATTGTTTTTACATCCCTCAAACACTTGGAGTTTGTGAAAACACTCCATTTCTACATGGAGCATCTGTGCCTATATGTTTCTGTCACTCCTTGTCCTACAAAGCCAGTAGTTTTTATAAGTGTCAGATCTCAGAGGTTTTCTTGGTCCTACTTTAAAACTCCATTTTTGAATGATTGGAAGGAAAACCTATGTATGGGATCAATACTTCAGAGAAGTTTCTTGGTGAGCTATGTAATTACATAATTAAACTGTGAATTTTCCCCACTAATTTTCTCTTAAATTTTTTAGTGCACGTCTCTTTGCTGTAAACAATGTCAAGAAACAGAAATAACAACCAAAAATGAAATATTCAGGTGAGAGCTTTATTACATTTTTAGTATACTTCTGAATACATTTTCCCAACTTCTGTAACAGAGTTATGGTCAAGACCATACTATTCCCATCTCCCATAAATCTCCCCCTATTAAATAATAATCATTCAGCGAATGCAATGTGGGGAGTTAAGACACCCTTCCTGATTGGGTACTCAGGAGCAATGATTATGTAAGATATTATTCACAGGTAATGAGCATGCTAAAGTCAAACAAAGGGGCAATCCTTTTTTTTCCCTATTCCTGCTTGGTAATCTGTTTATCTTCTTAGTGATTAAGGGCCTAACATGAATGCCTCAGGTATGATCTTCCAGGCAGACATAGGGCCCAAAGGTAAAGTGGGACATGCTTCTGAACATGTACTGATGCTGTGTGACATAAGAGTTAAGAATTATCTTAGTACTTATTCATAATTATAAATCAGGACAGTAAAGAAACTGAAACAAGGTAATCAGTTGCCCAAGGATGACTAAATAGGACCTTTTCACTGTACTTCCACTCTGAGACTCCTTTAGATGAGCTCCGTTTTACAAACATGTAGACTAATGAAACTGGGCTCACTCCCAACCTCCTGTTCACATACTAAAGTTCTGATATTACCTCTTATAACCCCATTAGACATTTTTTTCCTTCCCATTTTGACTTCTGTGCTGATTCTGTCTTGTAGTTTATCCTTATGTGGACCAATGGCAGCTTATGTGAATCCTCATGGATATGTGCATGAGACACTTACAGTGTATAAAGCTTGCAACTTGAATCTGATAGGCCGGCCTTCTACAGAGCACAGCTGGTTTCCTGGGTAATGTGGTGGTTACTTTTTTTGGGGAGTGGGTTTGCCTTAATCGGACACAGTCCTAAGCAGAGTCGTTAGAATTGTAATCAAAAATAGACAGTGAGATGAATAATTCTATTTAAATGTTCTTCATTTTATCAATGGCTAGTAACAGCTAGTTTGGCATACTCTCACTAAATATAAAGTTAGAAGGTTGGCAGCTGCAGTTATCTTTAAATTAACTATACATTTAATCCAGACTTTTCATTTTCCTACTTTTCATTTTCATTTTAGCTCATTCTGAAAACCAGCTGGCTTAGAATCCAGTAAAACTGTATCTGAACCATATTCTGTAATATGTCAAACCAGAGACTATTTCCCAAGCAATAACAAAACAGCTGGAAAGGCACTGAATCCTGGTTTTCTTCATTTTTTTTCTTTCTTTAGCCCAGTGGCCTTCAAAGTATGAGCCTGGAACTAGCAGCACCACCTGGGAACTAGTAAGGCTGAGGGAATGTGTTAATAGTCTTTTCTTCCAAATTCTGGGTCAGTCTTTTATTTTGAAAGAGGCAAGCAGAGTATGAATGATTATAATTGTCCTTTTGGGGGCACCTGAGGAGCAAAGCTGGTTAAGCATCTTTTAGTTTCTGCTCAGGTCATGATCTCAGGAAGCCCCATGTCTGCTTAAGACCCCCCCCCCCCCAAGGCTTTCTCTAAAAATAATTGCCGTTTTGGATGTAGGACCATATCACTTGGATTGTCCAAGCTTATTTAACACCCTTATTAAGGATTAAAACTAGAATTAACTTGTTAATAGATATGTGAGATATACCTAGGGAAGTAAGAAATGGTTTCAGTTAATATGGTTTGGTTTATTTTTCTAGTTATAGTTTGATTTTCTGGATGAATTTTCTGACAAAATCATTCTTCAGAAGTAAAAAAAATTCATATAATGTCTCCCTCCCACCCCCCACTTTAACTCGTAAGTATTTCTGGAGGTGGATAGTGTTTTGTAACATGACTGCAATACAAAACCAAGGAAAGGTACCTGCGAGTTAATCCATATTAACAAGATTAAGTTTTTTCTCAATGCCAAGAGAGAAAAAAACACAGCTTAAGAACACAATCAAATGTGTTTCAGGAAACCATATAGAATTTAGCTCTGTCTTGATAACAGCTTTATACAATGATAGGCTTGGGGTATAGAATGTTTCCTTAGCTGATACCTTTCTTTAATTTTGTAGGTATGCTTGGACTATCGCCCAGTGTAGGATCTGTGCAAGCCATATTGGATGGAAATTTACAGCCACCAAAAAAGACATGTCACCTCAAAAATTTTGGGGTTTGACTCGATCTGCTCTGTTGCCCACAATCCCAGACACTGAAGATGAGATAAGCCCCGACAAAGTAATACTTTGCTTATAAACAAATACAGTAGAGATAAAGTTATTTATCTAGTTGGTCTTGTAAAATCAGATCTGCTTTGGAAAATTACTGCTTTTGACGCATACCTAAGTAAAAAGCAACATTACGTGGAAGGTTGCAGTTTCTTAGTCAAGGGTATTTGAAGATTTAAATTAAAATATACTATTGAAAGGGATGAAAAGCAGTCTAGAAAACTTGGTTTTTAGGAGTATCTAGCTTGGTACCATTATACTCTGGCCTGCTAGGATACGAAGACCTCTTAGCAAAGGGAGGAGATGGGTTTTCTTGCGCCAAACATATTTGTAATTCCCCTAACTCGAGGTTAATCATTTGCTCCTGATACATGGAACCAACAGCAAGTTTTTAGAAGTTCCCAAAGCTAGGGTGCCAAGTACATGTTCCTTAAAAGAAAGAGAGAAAAATTTTCTTGAGTTTCTCTCACATTGATTTGTAAATTCTGAAAATATTAAAGCGTTAAAATATGCAGTTTGAGCCCCAAAATAGTGTTCATTTCCTTATGCATTATTAGTGAAAAACAGTAACTTATGTATTTGCTCAGTGTGTCTGAACGCCCTAGTTATTCTGTTCCAAATTTCAATCTGAACCTAAACTAATAGGGACCAGAGATACTAAAACAACCTCCCTTCAATCAGGCTACAAGTGACTGTATTTTGTAAGCACCTTTGTTCCATGTCAATTGAAAATCTAAAGTTTAAGAGCAAAAATTACACATTTTCTTTGTTTAAATAATGTAGAATATTTACTCACAAGCTGATAATTTAAGCATTAAGATGAAGCTCTAGATACTGATTAGCCACCTACCTCTTTGCTTATATGTTCAAGTGTTGATTGGATCCTTTCACATTTGTGTAATTACCTTCAGTTTTCATAACTGGGCAAAGTTCAACTAATGGGGAGACTGTTAAATCTCAGTTTTTTCTTTTACCAAATGTGCAATGGTTGTGAGTGCCTAGACTAAAACGATCAACTGAGGATCTCACATTGCATATTTATGTACAGGAGGTAAATGAAAAGCAACGTAGGACCTCCCCAGGTTGTAGGGTTTTTGTAATGCTACTGAGAACCTTGGGTTTACAGGACTATACTAGTTGTTCACATAGTCTTAACACTATTCCAGTAGCAGTCACAGGGCACCCCGCTTTTACTTTTGCCACCTGAAGGGTGTAATCCCAGTGTTCTATTTTGTTTATTGACACTGGCCAATAAAATTTTCTGATATGTAAAAGAAATGCATAGAACACTTTTAAATTGGTTTTATACATAACAAAACAAGACCTCTGAAATAGCGGTATCTCTGCATAATTCCTATTTAGAATAGAGATTCTATGATCTTAATAGGACTTAAATTACTGACTTGTCCCCACAGAGGACAGAGATGCTAGGACTGGCTATACAAAAAGCCAAATCAATTATAAAATGTTAGAACGTACCAGCTGAAACAATACTTTGCACCGTACAGCCCTTTACCTACTGAAAGCATTTAGGGCTCAAGCCTTTAAAAAGCGTATGTAGCAGCCTGGTCATGGATATTTTAATGTAGGCCATATCTTTTTAATTCGTGAAAAAAATTAACGACTAAAGGTACAGGAGAAACCTGATGTATACTGTCACATAACACATAAGCACATTTATCTTCCAATTCCAAAGGGAATGTTTATTAGAATGTTTATTGAAGGCTCAAGAGTAACTGTCAAGCCAGTCTTTCTCAGGCTTAGCATGCATAAAGAAATCATTATGACAAAGGAAAGTATCAACTACATACTAAAATTTAGAGCTTGCTAGAACATGTTTCAGGTGTATGAATGCCAGCCACCCAGGACATACCTGGTCTTCATAATTTTATACAGGATATTCTTTCAACTAATTTCAACATGTTTGTGTTGAAATTAAATTCATTTAAGTGTGTTAAATTCAAGTAAGAACACTTAAGACATTGATAAAATAATGTAGTTATTTCAATAGCAAACACTTTTTTCTTAAGGATAGTTACCACTTTTTAAGATCAGTAATGCACTATGCTGGGGGGAAAAAAAAATATAAAGCCTAGACAGGGGAAGCCAACCGTACTATTCACAGCAGGAACTATTCCAGAAGCAGCACAAGGTTCATGGATATAAATGAGATTTAAGAGGAGGTAGACTTGAGTTTACTGCCAGAAACTCACAAAGACCTCTGTTGATCTGAGAAGGTCCTCCAAGCTGGCTTTCATTCTGCTATATAGTCAAGTCTCTTAAATGTCACTGAGAGGGAGAGAAGAAAACCTAGCCTTACCCCAAATTTTCTGCTATTTAGTGCCAGCTCTCATCAGTTTTCGCTCTTCTTTATGTAACTTAGGAGTTCGTCTTTCTCCATTTGGTAGCCACTTTTTTTCCACTGTTCTCGCAACTGCTGCAACAGAGCCCCAATTTCTTTTCCTGAAGAAATGCCCACTTTTCTGATGTCATGGCCACTCACAGGAAATGGTGGAATGCACCACTGCTGCATCTGCTGCAGAAGACCATGCTCTCCCTGGTACTTCAGGAGTTCACACACGCGGTTCATTGCGTCAGATTCCCTAGACTAAGGGCCAAAATCAAACATTAAAGTTCCATCTCACATTAGAATGCTTGCTAATGATCCTATCCTAAAAGGTAAATAAATAACCAAGGTGGAATTTTTCATTTAAAATAAATGAAATCCACGTAACACACTGTAGGTCTTAATATTAATAAATTAGTTCTGACCAAGCCTGTATATACTTACATCTATAATGAAGTCTTGATAGGGTTTCAGTGGCTCTGAACTATCCGTTGCTTTAACTAAATCTTTCCTGTTTTTAACGATGAATATACCAAGGTTCTTCTCTTCTTTTGAAATCTTCAACCTCAAATCCAATTTTGTGACATCATCCTGTACTTTGAATAATGAGGCCAAGAGAGTCATTGGCTTTGGTGAAAAACCGTCAGCATTTTTACTAACTTTGTTAAATTCTTCCAAACTTGCATTAGTAGGTAAGCCTGTAGGGACAAAAACGTTTTTCACCGATTTTGATTTTTTACACTTGTATCCTCAACCAACCATAGTGTAGTATACAAAATGCCCTGTCACTAGAACTCACTGATTCAATCTGATGCTCCATCTTACAGGTTAACCACTTATAAACACTGTTGCTATTCCTTCCCATAATGTCCCCACCTAGGGGAGTCCTAACACATGAGTTTCCATTACAGAGCTACATCAGGAGGTCCTGAGGCAGTTAGTGGTGGAGTCAGACTCACGGGAGATACTTACTCATGACTTCCCACTGACCTATTGTTACAGACCATCCACGCCCCACACTGCCATTGAAAACTGTATGTGACATACCACCAAGTTTCCTGAAGTGTGCTCCAGCATAGACCACTGTTCTTTCTGAATATAATATTAATTTCTACGTATGTCACTCTTTCAGTGCTTTAGACGTATTAACTCACTGAATCTTTTAGCCCTTCTATTAGATGGATGCTTTTACTCTCACACCCCTTTTTTGGATTCAGCAACTAATGATCATGGAACTAATCCAAATCACAAAGCTGATATCATTCAAACCCAGGTCTGACACCAAAGGCCACTCACTGTGTCCCACCCCGGACCCCAAAGTTTATCTTATTTTAAAATACTGCATTTCTCTTTTTGGAATTAGTCAAACATTTTTCCCTATGAAATTTTAAACCAGATGTTTCACTGTAAAAAATTCAAGTATTTTATAACTTGCTCTCACCTATGTAAGGAGCCACATCAAGATCATAGAGGAGGTGAATCAAATGATTTACATGGTTACCAACAAGAATTTTTTTCAGTTCCACCCAAATCCTCTCTCCTGATATTCCAGCCAAGCCTTTCGCATTTTCTGCAATTGCTTCCAAAGTCTCAGGATCGTGGTCACCAGGTTTGTCCACAATTCTCCCATAAAACCTACGAAACAAAATTCTCAGAGCATGTTACCTCTATGTTGGCATATCACTAGAAAAATCTTGTTTTTCATTTAACTGGTACTATTCCATACATCTGCGACAACACAGATTTATGTTTAAGAGGAACCATAGACATCATCTGGTCAAATCCTTACCTTCCTTTTGTTCTGAAATGACAAAGCCTGAGCTCCAATAAAATATAAATAACCATTTTTTTTTAAGTAACTTTCTTAATTAACAAGAACTAGAAACCTCTACTCACTTTCATTTCCAAATCAGTGACTGAGACATTTAGAATGGCCATCAAATGTACTTCCTGGAACTGGTACCTATACTGGATGAATAATGCAGAACATTCTTGGAAAGACTGGAATGCCATCAACAGAACAGTGTACAAAGCTTGTCTCTCTGTGCCCATCAATACTTTTAATGAAGGGTTTCAAATAGGACTCCTCTAGCTGCAGACAACGGAGTGTATTTCTAGCAATCTCAGAATTGGAAGCCTTAAAATACACCCATACTAACACATCTTTAGAATTCAGTTCATTAATAATGTAGATTAAATGACAGTAAATATGGATGTCAGTCTGTGTTCTATTTGCAAAGAGAGACTTCTGCAAATACTCAAATTTAAGAGAAGAGCATTTACTGACAAAATATGTAGGATCTGTTACAGAGTATTCTAAATGTGATCCCAACCAGTGAAAAATATTAGACATAAACTAGCCAGTTAGAATCGTTTTTAAAAACGGTTACAGCCTGGAGTTTAAAAATCAGGGCTATGCACAAAACCATCCACATTTATTTCATGCTTTCAGGAAGTTCATCTAAGGGTTTCTCATGACCACCTAAAACTGTAAACCATATGAAGGCAAAGACACTCATTCCTCCATATTCAAAGCACCAGGAAGTGGTTGGCTTGTGGTAAACATTCAGTTATCTATATAATGAATGATCACTGCAGGAAATAAGAAAAACAGACATTTAAAAAATGATTTAAAGCTGAATTCTATAAAAGACCATCACAGAATGGAGTAAATATCTATGTTTTGGGAACGATCTGAGAGTTAAGTCACATTTTACTAATAAGTCTATCAGAAGCAGACATTTGGGATATTACCATGTTATACTCTGACCTGCGCATTTCACATGATTGGAATTGTGCTCTGGAATATTAAAATCTGTACTATTAAAGTATTTTTTAAAAACTCTTACCGGAAATATCGTAAAATTCGAAGATAATCTTCTTGTATCCTCTGTTTAGCATGTCCAACAAACCTAACTTTCTTATCTTTTAAATCTTCATAACCATTGAAGTAGTCAAATAAGGTACCATCAAAACCTATTCATTAAAAAAAAAGGGTGGGAAGATCACTGTTAGCAATTAAGAATTGGAAAACAAAATTCGCTTTTAAAATCTATTACAAAAGTAAAAGCTAAGTGAAGAATTGCAAAGTTAAAATACAGACATGAACAGCATTCATGCATACCTACTATCAAATGGAAGAGCGAATGGAATAAAAGGCTGTATTTACAACAGTAACTAAAAAGGTAATGCCCAGGGGTGCCTGGATGGCTCAGTCGTTAAGCGTCTGCCTTCGGCTCAGGTCATGATCCCAGGGTCCTGGGATCGAGCCCCGCATCGGGTTCCCTGCTCAGCGGGAAGCCTGCTTCTCCCTCTCCCACTCCCCCTGCTTGTGTTCCCTCTCTCGCTGTGTCTCTCTGTCACATAAATAAATAAAATCTTTAAAAAAATAAAAATAAAAAATAAAAAGATAATGCCCAGAAATGAACTAAACAATAAACATGTCTCAAGTATGAACTGGGGTGGAGATAAGACACCAGACAAGCTGATTTTCAAGTTAATATGGGAAAATAAACAAGAATAGCCAAGGTAATCTGGGGGAAAAAAAAAAGTAGCAAAAAGAATCTGGAAAAACTAAAACAATAAACCATAGGGAAAATAAAAATTATGACCCTGGGAGAAGACCTTTCAAAATACACAGTTAGGGTGCCTGGGTGGCTCAGTTAGTTAAGCGTCTGCCTTTGGCTGAGATCATAATTTTGGAGTCCCAGGATCGAGTTCCACATCGGGCTCCCTAGTCAGTGGGGAGTCTGTTTCTCCCTCTGCCCTTCACCCAGCTTGTGCTCTCTGTTGCTCACTCACTCTCAAAAAAAGAAAAAAAAAAAAAAATCCTTAAACACAGGTTTGAACTCTATAGGTCCACTTACAGGTGGATTTTTTTTCCTGAAGACTTTTTTTTTTTTTTTTTTGGAGAGAGAGAGAGCAAGAGATAGCACAGTGGGGAAGGGGGACAGGAAAGGGGGGCCAAGTGAGAAGCAGGCTCCCTGCCTGAGCAGGGAGCCCGACTCAGGGCTTGATCCCAGGACCCTGGGATCGTGATCTGAGATGAAGGCAGGAGCTTAACCAACTGAGCCACCCAGGCACCCCTATTTTTTTTTTTTTTTACAAGACTATAGATGTTTTTTCTCACGATTTTAACATTTTTTCTCTAGATTGCTTTATTGTAAGAACGCAGTATATAATACATAGAACATAAAAAGTTTGCGCTGTTTCTGTTCTCAGTAAAGCTTCCTACCAATAGTAGACTATTACTAATTAAGTTTGGGGGGGAGTCAAAAATTAATATGCAGATTTTAGACTGCGTGGGGGTTTACCAAACAAAACTAAACACACACACACACACACACACACACACACACACACACACACACACA